CGCGGCAGGAGCGGAGGAGCGGCGGCGGGCGCTGCCCTGCCGGCGCCGGGAGTGAGCGGCTGCGCGGCTGCTGGGAGGGTGAATGAAGCCAGGAGGAGGGGAAGGAGGAGGCGGCGGCGGCGGAGGAGGCGCTGCGGGGATTGGGATGCGCCCTGGAGCCCCGCTGCTCGTTCACTCTGGGCCGGGCCGGAGACTCCGCCACTCCCGCGGCCGTCGCCGCCGCCGCCTCCTACGTGGTTCCAGCGCTGCGAGCAGGCCGGTCCCGCAGGGGGCAGGGAAGGGGCCGGCCGGGCGGAGCGAGAGGTGAGGCGGCGGCGGAGCGCGGCGTGAGTGTGAGTGAGTGCGTGCGTGTGTGAGTGCGTGTGTGTGTGTGTGTGTGCGCGCGTGTGGGCGGGGGGGGCGGCGGGGGCCGTCGCGGTGGGGAGCGGCCCCACGGGGGCCACTTGGCTGACTCTGCGGCGCCCCGACCCCTCCCCAGCCCCCCGCCCTCAGGCCGCTTTCCTAAACTCCGGGGCTTGTGCTTTCATTTTATTTCAGACCACGTAGGGGGCTGACTGGAAGCGATGAAACAATTCAGGTTTTCTAGGGAGATTGAGCAAGGACCTTAGTGGGGGCGGGGGGGTGGAAGTAGGGTGGTGGTGGTGATCTTGCCAGAAAACAACAAAAAAAAATATCAGTTTCCAAGGACCGTGGGGTTCGGTTCAACCCTGTGGCTGTTCTGTTTTGTTTTGCTTTCTCAGTATATAATCCTGCAGATAAGAGGGTAATATAAATACTTCGGGAGATTGGGAAATTGCTGAAGAGTAGTAAGGGCAAGAAAAAAAAAAAAAAAAGCCAGTCGGAAGCTGGTTATATAATGCGCGATGTGGCTAACGAGAACGGCAAGCTATTTTTATTTTGTTTACCGTATGCTGTGCAGTAGGGACTCCTCCAAACTGGTTCTGTCCCCGAAGAGATTCTTAGCTTCCCTGCGAGATCCACGGGATACAATTAGTAAAATTAGAAGACCCTATTACACCCACAGAATGAGAACTACTGTCTTAGAGTGGCATGCTCCCTGCACATCCCTTCGTGCAGGCTCGGAATGTGTATATGCAAATAAGTTCTCCTTTGGCAATCTAGTAGTCACATCTCAATGACATTTGTGTTTTGTAATGCAGGCTGTTCTTAATATTTAAACATTGTCGGTACATATCGCACAGAGCAGTGGGTAGTTACTTGATGGTTATTTTTAGGCATAGCTGGTTACTTTTTCAACAGTGTTAGCTAAGCCATTTCTGTTTGGGTTTCTCAGGAGCCCTGTAGTTCCTAGAAGCCCCTGTTAGCCCACCCTGTGGTTTATTTGCAGTTGGATACTTGGGCCTTTTTTCTTTTTCTTTTCTTTTTATTTGGTGGAATGAAGCCTATGCCTGAGGAAACCACCAAAGAGAAGGTTGAGAAAATCCTGCACATGGACTCTTGGAAAGGGGATTGCACCGTAACAGCTAATGCTGTGGCATTTGATCTCCTCTGATTGTCCTCCAACTGTGCATGCCTCAGTCAATATTTTAGCAGCTCAGCAGACAAATGGGCTTGAGAGCCGCCTTCTGTGTACAGCAGAGGGTGAAGGGCTCCCCCGAACCTCCTGGCTGCCTGTCTTTCTCATCGTGTAGATCCGTGTCAATGGTGTAGGTTTTCCCTGCACTTACTCTAGGCCCTGATCACTCCTGTAATTAGATCAGGCTGCCATGGCAACAGACAGTGTGCCTCGTCCATTCAGGTGGGTTTGTCTTGTGCCTGGACTACTCCAAGTGTTTTATGCACAGGATTTGTGCTGCTCCAGCCAGAGGAGAGACTCCACTGCCTCAGTTGTGTCTTCTTTTGGTCATTTGGACAGGAGACACTGAATGAGACTTTGCAGCGACTCAACTTTTGTAAAGGAGACCAGCAAGCTGTTCTTGCTGGGCGCAATATGTAAATGCCTTTCCCTGCGCAGTGAAAGAGGCCTAGCAGTCCTGCTGATGTTGATTGTGAACAGATCAACAAGTATTTGGTACTTGTTAGAAACCTTTCAGAACTTACCAAAGCAACGGTTCTTTTGCAGTCTGGTGCCTTTGGCCTTGCGGATACTTAACCCCTTCAAGTGGGAAAGCACCCGTCCCTTAGAACCTATGTTGTCAGTGTCGGGATCCTAAAGGGTTGACTCAGTGGAAGGGGTTTATGTAGGACGGATAACCCCCTTGTCACATTTCACAACTTTACCGTTATCATAGCCGCTATAATCCACAAAAAATGGGACTGACTGGCGGGGCCATTCTGGGTGGGTGCATTTTTAATTTGGACTTCTTGGCCATCCTTAATCTTTACATCTGTCAGTAGTAAGTTCCAAGGTTTTTCTCTCAGGTGAGAGATGGTAGAGGCCTAGAGCTCAGAGACTGACAATGGGTGATGCTTTTACACAATAAGCAGCTTGCACTGTATTTGGAGATATAATTTAATGAGCATTTAATGATTTAGAGAGCAGCACTCTCCTCTTTGCATTACGATGCCACCTCATTAAGTCCACTAGGCAAAGAAAAATAATCCTGTTGCCAAAAAATAAGAAGGAGAGAAAAGTAAGTAGCTTTGGTTGCTGAAGCTTTTGTGTGGCGCAGGCGATCCACCTGAGGGGGAGTATTTTAATAACCCTGATATATGAAAGAGAAAGTAATTGAGAATAATAATGTCTTGATTTGGTTGTGATCCTGCCAGTCCGTTTTTCAATTTTCAGTTTTACAGCCCCATAGCTAAATTGGTAAATCCTTTTTTTTTTTTTTTTGCCCTGGGGCTAGGATTCTTTCCCCACAGGGGGTTTACGACTTTCTACCATTTAGTGAGTTTATGCGGTTGGTAACTTGATTGTGGCCTGTTCAGATCAAGTGCTTCTGTGGTTAAAACAAGCTATTTTTTTTCCCTAGGACGTAAATAGATGGGAAGCAAGTATATGAAGTAAGGCACAGAAGTTTAAGTTGTACACACTTTGGAGGTCCTGGATTTTGCAACATACAGAAAATCTCTTGCAGTAAAACGTGAACATGTATTTTTGAATGCTAAAATAAGTATGAAAAATGTACTTGATTGGGAACTGTGAAAGTCAATATTTTCCTCTCTGGATTTCGTTTTAAGAGGGTTTGGTTAACAGAAGTGATACTTTGTCGGGAATATTATAACTAGGCTCCAGGGCCTCTGAATTGTCTTTTACTCTTCGAGAGACATTCAAGAAAAACTCTCAGCCATCAGATTCTATGTCAAGTGCCTGTAGAAGGCCTTACGTTTCATTGTCTCTGAGTCCTGGGAAAGGCCAGCCTTAAGAGATTTTTAAAACATTAGTAAACACTTTTCTGTGACTCCTATATTTATTGTCATTACAGAGTTTAAGGACTCACATTCCTTTTGTGTAATATGCCTTTATTTTTTTTTTTCCATCCTGAAATGTCAAGTGGATTTTACTTTTGCACTTACCTTGAATGACAGTTTCTGATGACTAACACATTGTAACAGCGGCTCATTTTGTTTCCTATTAGAAGTTAGTCGATAAACATATTTTATTAAAATCCTGTAAATTAGTGTAGGAGTGAATGTTCATTCTTTCAACTATAGCTGTGAGCAGGTAGCACATAGTTTAGACTCTGAAACACTGATGTGCTTGCATATTAATGTGACAGAGTGCAGGAGACAGGGTACACATCATTTTCAGGGTGGACATAAATAATTTGATTTCCATTGCTTTTTATTTTCAGAGTTATTCAGTAATTTGAATGATTGGCTTCTGTGAGAGATTTAGACATGGACAAGCTTAACTGCTTCAAAGAACAGATTTAGTTCCGGTCATACTTCCAAGGTTATCAGAAGCAGGCCCTCCTTATTTTGTAAAAGCATTGAGAATAATACATTGTAGAAATCTCAGTAGAGATAATCATTTCTGTCCCAGGGTGTTCCATAAAGGACTGCCCATTTTTAAGAATGAATTTTGTAGTCCTCAATTATGCTGTTCAAATTTTAGTTTCATTGAATTCAGTTTAATAAAATACCCATTCAACATGTCTTTAAGAGATGATATAATAATGAGCATACTGAATGCTGTTTTAGAGAATATTTTTAAAGGTTGGCTGAAAGAGTTGTAATTGGATCAAGGTTTTGAAAAAAATACATATAAATGCTTAAAACTGTAGGAGTGATAGAAAGATTTAGGTAAATCATCTCTATTTGTGGAGACAGTTTTAAAAATCTTTTTCCTATTTCATAATTTATATATTTTTGTCTTTATCAGTGTAGTAATATATTTTGTAATCCTTATCCATATGAACTTTCTGGGCTAGTGTGCTATAAATGTTTGTAGTGCGTGTTACCGAATGTAATGAAACCCGTTTAGAACTGTTACAGACAAAAAAAGCGACAAGCATTATATTTTCCTTGATATGTTTGATGTTAGCAGAAACGTTTCATTGATTTTTCTATAACTTTTAATGCATACCATTTGTGGAGTAATGAAAATGCAGTGATAATTGCCATAATGTAAGCAAAAATGGTATCCTACCTGAAAATGACTTTTCAGAAAACTCATTGTAGTGTAATCAGAATTTGAGACTTAAGGGGGCCGAGGTTGCCCTGATTATGCTGTTTTGATTCAGGCTAAGAGGAACTCTTTATTCCACTTAGGGGCTCTTTAGGCATGACACCTTTTGAGGGAGTTATTTAGCAGAAGTTTTTAGTGATAATCGTCTTAGCTCCTAACCTATAAGCAATTTATCTCCTAACATGCAAAGAAAATGTATTCTTCTGTCACTGTGTATGGCGGATTATCTTTTATTGCACCCTTAGATTTGGCCTACTCTCCCCGAATTATTTATAATATCTCCTGTATTTATTTATCTATTATTTCCTCTTTACTATCCCGTCAGCGTTATTTAGACCATCTATCTTAGTAACCTTCCTCTATAAATGGAATTGTGTTATGTAGTTCTGCTGTGCTTTTAAAATATTAAGCATTCTATGTTTAGTGTATATGTTGTAGAAAACATCTGTAGGCTATTATCGGGGTTGGTTTGTTTTTTTTGTTTAGTATTTTGTATGTTTTTGCAGTGAATCCACTCTGCCTTGCTTTTTTGGTTCTTGTGTTTCTTCCCTCTGATGGAACAGTAAGTTACGTGAACTCTGTTCATTACTGTAACTGGTGTAGCAACACAAATACTTTAGAAATAAGTAGGCATACCTGTGTGAGAGTAAATTAATATTTTACAGCATTTGCATCAAGTTTGACTGTTCTGTGTACTTCAGCAGAATAGGAGGAGACTGTAATTTGGACTCTATGAAACCTTATCTGCCAGGTGGTATGTAAATAGGACTCTGTGCACACGTAGACATACCGGCAAACACTCAACTGTTAGCTCATAAAGCAAGTGCTGTCTGCAACTCCACGGGACCTGCACCTTGCTCAGAACTGATTATCCAGTATGTTGATGCTTCGTTTGAGAAGTTACTAGATACAAACAAGAAAACAGCTACTGTGGAAGGGCAAAGAGAATCCTCTCTTTAATTTGGCCATGATTGACATTGTAACTCCACAAGCTTCTTCGCGGAGGGCTAGACTTAGCCGAGTCTTCCAAGGACTTCAAAGACGTTATAGTCTAGAACAGCTTCCCTACGTTCTCTGTACTCACAGATTACGTGGGGGAAACCAGGGACTAGAAAACTTGACTTCTTTTGCATATCAGTCCCAGGCATGCAGTAGATGCTTAAGTAAATACTTGGTGAATGGATTCGTTAGAAGTAAGAATGCTTTGGCTACTATTCATTACTTTGAAAAGTGTTGGAAAGCGATTGAAATTATTTTCCTTTCCTCCTGGGCTGTGCTCTTAAAAATAGTGAGTGTGTATGGATGAAAATAATCATGACTACAGAGATGTGTTGCCATGTACCCGGGGACAATTGGCTGACTTACCTGTTTACAGATTATTCACATTGGAGATCGTATTCATAACTCCAGAATAGTTTCTTTCTGACATCCAATATAATCCTGGGCCTCCTCCTTCCTACTGTTACGTAGCGTGGGCTTAGGAAACCCAAACTAAATTTAAAAATCAGCCCAAACAAATATACAAATCAGTTCCAGTAATCAAAGACGGAAAATCTGCCCAGCAATGACTAGTTGGGGGGTTAGTTTATAACTGTGCTTCTGATTCTTTCTATTTCATGTGGGCAGTTGGGAATGACCAGTACTTAAAAATATTATTTTAATAGGGCTGAAAACTCTGCTAGCAGATCAAGTCCTCAACTTCTTCCATTTCTGTGCATAGGTCTTTACCTCACAAAAACTACTACAAGCACCAAGCTCCCTGATGGAAAGGTATATGGAAGATTCATTCATTCTCTTGTTCATCCATTCACACATTCACTCATTCATTATACAGTGGATGATTTTTACTTAACCATGTGCAAGGCATTGTGGCAAAATGAAAATGAAGTAGACATACATTCAAAAAAGAAATAATTTAAAATCCAGTGGAAAGTCTAGTGAACATGTGCATACTTTCACAGTTTTTTCTGCATTTGATACATTTTTCTATCCCATTCGACCGGTATGCCAATAACTGTGCTTTTTTGTGATTGTTCCTCAAGTTGCATGTTGATAGTAATACATGCCATGTGAAAATTAGACTTTGGCTTAATTACTACTATTCAACCCATGCCCATTTCACCTGATATCCCTGTGATTACCAGCATGTGTTTATCAGATGATAGGTTAGAATCATTAGGGAAAAGAATGACAGTGCCTGGCTCCAATGGGGAGGCCGAGCTCTTAATTTGATTGAAGGGATGACCTTTTTGTGTGGTGGCCTCCCTCTGAGCCCTGTTGACTCAAACCAGACCTGCCTTCTGAGCTGGCTGGTATCTGTAATTCTCATAAGACAAAATGCACAATTTGATGTCCTTAAAGTTTAGATTTCAGTGTGCTTAAGGTGGAATTACTTTTGGAAGCCATTTGTCCTGGTTTTCATTTTGCATTTCTTCTCCTGCACCCCCCCTCCCCACCCCACCCCTACCCCTGCAGGAGCATCGTGTGGCAAGTCGCCAGGGTGGTCCGTTCGAGCCGCGGATTTGTGTGTCATCCTTGGAAGGCGGTCTCCTCCTCCACGGCCACTACAGGGAAGTGCATCACGTATCAGGTGAGAGTTTGGCCATGCTCGTGTAGTTCCCATCCGAGGATCACGTCTGACCCGGAAAATCACCTCATACCCACGCTTTCACGTGTCGTGGACCGTTCAGTGTGACTGCCTTGGCAAACTGCCTTCGGAGGGAAATTGAGAAATTGCCAAGAGCATTTTTAAAAACTTGGCTTGAAGTGTGTCTCTTTTCGGTTTAATTTAGAAGAAAGTGGTTCACGAAGAAGTCTGCGTTTGACCTGGTGACGATTGGCTGTTGGTGTGTCAGGCTCGAGCCTGATCGTCTTCGCTGTCACCTTTTCCTTAACGCGATGAGACCGTTTCGCTGCCAGACTGTGACCGTAAGTCACGGTTTTCACGTTTTAGGTTTTTGTTGTAGAGTGATTCAAGTGTAGGGAGACAGAGGCCTGTTTGTTCAGTGGCAGCCAGTATTTGTCGAATCTTGAATTTCTTTGTGTCTGTTTGGATTTTACAACTTCCTGATTGCCTCACGTACAGTAAATTTTTCTGGCCTGGAGAGTCATGCAGACACAGGGGTGTATGTGGTGTTGATGACTCATGGTTCTGTATTGAAGAGAGGACAAGAGGATCCTGCCTACATGAAATCGGGAGACATGGAAGTTAGACAGAAGTTGGGGCAAGAGGGCTTCGGAGCCCTGGTGTATGCAACCAAAGGGGATTGTGAAATAGATCCCCTCTTGCTATTTACCTTGGGAGCGGTCCTGCTGGGACCTGTGGAAATGGACTCCTTCAGAGGTTCCCAAGCCTGGCTGGGCCACAGAATCACCTAGAAAGCTTAAAAAGAGAGGGAGGGGGAGAGAGAGAGAGAGAGACAGAGAGAGAGACAGAGAAAAGGATTTGGGGCTCCACCTCCTGAATCAAAATGAAACTTTAATGGTCTCTTGGAATCATATTGATGCTCCACGGGTTTGGGAACTGCTGGACCGGGTGGTCTCTGGGCAGCTCTTCCCGAGTCATGTTCTGTTTCCTTCCTTGGCGAGACCCATGGTCTGCCTTTGCCACACCTCACATATAAAATGCCCGATTTGCAGCTAATTTGTTAAGAGGTGGATATTTGCCCCTCTATACCTAAGATCGACTTTTTAAGTGAACCTGTCATTTCCGTGGCATCTGAGCCAAGAGCATGGGGCTCTGGAACCAGCCTGTCTGCATTTAGTATCTGGAGCTGCCACTGTGTCCCGTTAGCGTTCCGTGCCTCAGTTTCTTGATGAGTAAGGTGGAGATAAGATTAGAACTTTCTTTCTTTCTTTTTTTAAAGATTTTATTTATTCATTCGCAACACAGAGGTACAGAGAGAGAATGAGAGAATGAGCAGGGGGAGAGGCAGAGGGAGAGGGAGAAGCAGGCTCCCCGCTGAGCCAGGAGCCGGACGTTGGGCTCGGTCCCAGGACCCTGGGATCATGACCTGAGCTGAAGGCAGACGCTTAACCATCTGAGCCACCCAGGCGCCCCAAGATTAGAACTTTCTTCTAGGGCTGCTGTGAGAATGGAATGAAATAGTATGTGTATACGGAGTAGGATAGTACCAGCGTATGGTTTGTGATCTGTGAACATAAGTTATCTTTGTGATCATATGACTTAACCTCTTGACAGGATAAGTGTAATGTTCTTGTTTAGTGATGGTTGCTCCTGGACCATACATGACTAGGAGCCGGTAAATACACCTGTACCTTGATCTTTGGACCGACACTGTAGACATTTGCAGCTCTGCAAAGCAAATGAGCCTTTTATTTATTTTTCTGAATGTTGTGTGAGTCCATCTCTCTTGCTGCGATAGGATGCATACGTGGTGTTTTCCTCTTGTTGTAAGAAGTTGGGTGCAGAAATGAAGTTACGCGTGATCCAAGTAAAAAGAAACAAAAACCGGAGTGACTGAAGTACAATGTCTCAGGAAGGGTAGCCAGAAAAGTCCTGCTTGGGGAATGGGGCCGGGGTGGGGTGGGTCAGGAAGTGATCCCAAACATTATAACCTTGAGAAATATGGACCTAGGTCCTTGGCATTTTATGGGCAGTGGGTCAGGGAGGTGTCGTTTAAAAGGAAATAGAATAACCCCACAGTTACATGCAAAGGTAAGCTTCTTAAGGTCTGCAAGTGTCAGCGGACTGGAAAGGTGTAAGATGCCTTACCCCTGCTGCTTTATCTCTTAGGGGTGTTACCATTTCATAGGCTACACAGAAAATCCTCACGTTGAAGTTTTTGGGGCAGTCGTTTTATTACATATGTGGTTAATACACATGCACGTTTGTTTTTTCACCTGTGGTGTTTAAAAGAGAATTTCATTGTGAAAACACAAGTAACAAAAAGTCCTATCTCTTGGCCAATAGGTGCAGCTTACTGAGAAGGCACCGAGGTTTTTATAGTATATTGAGCAAGTCTGAGTGTCTTATGAATACGTATTGTATTACCAACAAAGTAGTACAGAGTCACCTTGAATTCTCAGCAGCTGACATTTTCTGTGATTGCATTTAAAGGAAGCTTATAAGCATTATCTAAACATTTTGCATAAATAATGGCCTCCTTACAGTGCTCACAGTTGATGGTTAAACGTGAGCAGGGAAATAGTATCGTTCGTGCTGTACTCTATTATGCTCGTTAAGGTTTTTTTTTTTAAATTAAAATCTAGGTTACAAGTATTTCTGGTTCCACTTACTTTGTAAATATGGTAGGGCTGCAGTGAAGTTATGACCTAGCTTGCTCACAGGCACCATGTCTGTAAAGAAATGATTCATTCATTTATTCACTGTGTCTTTTTTAAACGAGTACATGGTACTGTGGGAATGAAAGTGAGTAAGAGCTCCCGGAAGGAGGTTGCATTCTTCGTGGTCAGGTAGGGGAAAGAAGAAATGCCCGGAAAGAACTAATACAAAGCAGAATGGGGTGAGTTGTCCTTACTGGGGTAAATTCTGACACTGAAGGAATTCAGAATGATGCTGAGTGGGATGGTGAGGAAAGACTTTGAGGAGGAGGGATCATCTGAGTTCAGCTCTGAAGGCTGGTTAGCATTTCTGTGGGAAGAGATGGATGGAGCCGGGGAACACCGTGTAAGTGGCTGGGACACAACCAGCGAGCGCCTGTGATGTAACCACCAGGCCATTTTGGCTGGAGCACAGGTGCTGGTGGGCATCTTAGTTGTAGACCGGGTGGGAACACAATTGCTGAGAGGTCAGGTCTGGAGATAAATTTGGAAGAGTCATTGGCATAGAAGTGGTCTTTGAAATTGGGCTTTGGGTTTGCCCGAAGTTTGCCAGGCAGGAGGGGGGAATGACTGTATTTCAAGGGCTGGCATCAGCGGGCGTGGAGTACGTGGAGGGAAGGTGAGAGGCCGCGGAGAGGAGCTGGAACGTTGGCGCAGTGCAGCCTTTGTGTGCTCGGTCTGGGGAGACCGAGGGGCAGGGAAGGCTGGTGCCAGGCTGCAGGGGTGGCTGGGTGGGTGAGCGGGTCTTCTCCCTGGAAGCTCAGTGCCAAACTGCAGCTCAATGAAATCATGTTGAAACCTTTATTTCTTTAAGACCTTTAAAAAAAAAAAAAGAAAGAAAGAAAGAAACCTGAGCTAATTTTAGCTAAATCTAATATGTGTGTGTATGAAAATGAATGCCGCTTTTGAAATGCAGTGTGCATGCAGTATCTCTTTTCATGTCAACAAATGATCCCTCTCTTTTCCTCTAAACAGTTTTATTAAGATTTTCGGTGGAGCCCTGTACATATTAACAACAATTCCAGCCTTCCTTTTGATCTTTTCCACCGTCGATTTATTCATCTCATGCGATAGGCGTAAATCACATTGTGCCATCTACTTGACTCTGGAGCTGTTGTTCATTTGTGGCAATTCATTTACTGTACTTTGATAAAGCACAGGAATATGGGTGTGTTTGGTAACTTTAAAGGCTTTCCTGGAGGCTTTATGTGGATTCTTTTAAATGTGAGATACATATAACACACACACACACACACACACACGAGGCCCAGCTTTCTGAGCAATTTGGCTTTCCATTTATACTTTCTAGAAAATAAAGAAATACAGAAATAGTGAGCCTTGACTCTAGGATGAAAAGATTCTAAGACTCCATGGCTCAAAGTGAAGGGGAAGTCTGGACCTTATCTGGTTACATGTCTGTGGGTGGGCAGTCTGTTTTAATATCATTAGAGAAAATTTGCAGATTATTTAAAATTTTTTATTTTTGGACCCGGGTTATTCAGATGGGTTGCTTTTATTCCCCAAACTAGCTCAGAATGAGGTGGTGACTTCCCTACCTTCCATAAAAGACAAGAAGGTGAGGACAGGAGCCAGGGGGATGGAGAAAACACCGTCAGGGGCAGATCATTCTGTCTGCACGCGTTTACCGAGCATCTCCTACATGAGAAGCATTATGCCAGCCAGGCTCTAAAGGATTTATAGAGATGGTCAGTCGTTCACACTCACTGCATATTAACTCATTTAATCCTTACTGCAGTCCTTGGAGGTAGGCACTGTCATTATCCATCCAGCAGATGAGGGAAACCGAGGCACAGAGAGGAAAAGTAACCTGCCCCAGGTTGATCAGCTGTTCGGTGGGGAAGTCATGCTTGGCTCCCATCCTGTACTCTTCACTGGAGCCATGCATTGTCTCTCAAGCCCTGAGACCCTGTCTGTAAGAAGCTGACAGTTGAGTCGAGAAGGCAGGGCGTGCCCAGGAGTCCTATTTAAAGAGTCACAACAGAGATGCAGCATCCTCTGGGAGGTCCAGATCAGGGAGGGGTTCGTGGTTGCTGAGCCTTCCCCGCTTTGGGTGCTCGCCTATCTGCTCAGAGTTGCAGACAGGCTGTCCTTGAGGTGTTACCTTCCCTCCCCTCACTCTTCCTCATGCCTCCCTGAAATTCCTGCGCACCTTCAATAATTATTAATTGAAGAAAGTGATGACAGTGGCAATATGCTTATCTGTGTTTCCAAGGTTTGGCTTCAGCTGGGCTCCAGAGGCAGTTCAGCATAAAGAGTCCCAGTGAGATAGGGAACTTTTGACTCCCCTGAGAGTTTCCCTGGGTCATTGCTCAGCTTGCCAGATTTGGCAGATACAGACTCTTCATCTCTCCAGTTTGCTAGGTGGTGGGCTGGCAGCGGATGCTAGCTCTAAGAACAAAACATGCTGGGAAAGGAGAGCATGCTCGGGTTGGGGTGGCCATTGGGAAGCCCGGGTCTGCTGTCCCCTCCCGTCCCCGCCGCTCCTGGTCTCTCATTGTTCTCTCCTTCTCTGGACCAGTGGATGAATCTTTAACCGACTCACGTCAGACAGACAGAGAAAGGATAAAGATCACTTTTCTCTTAGGCTGCTTTGGGGAGACCAG